CCTAGGTCTCAGCCACTTTTGTGCCAAGGTCTACAAAGTACTGCGCCTGCCACGAAATACTGCAATTGCCACACGGAATCATCACCATGTCCAAAATGAAAAATGACGACAGTTTCACAAAGCAAGACTTGTGACTTGTGACCCTTTCAAAACGTCGTCCAAGTTCACCAAATATACTGTACCTGCCACAAAATGACCTCCAAAACCACCTCTCATTTTGACCCACACCTGCCAACGTTTTAGCAACGTCTAGAAAGTGCCATACATCTTGTGCGAACCTGCGCAGTCGAAATGCACATCTCACAAGGGAACTTTTAGGCGAGAATTTCCAATGAAAATGCCCCAGACCAAAACAGACCAAAACCGCGGCGCTCATCTTGTGCGAGCCTGCGCAGTCGAAATGCACATGGATGTGTCAGAAGGGAACTTTTATGCGAGAATTTACAGGGAAACAGCCGGAGGCCAGATGGATCACCCTGATCTAACCCCGGCCTTTAACCTTTAACCCTTACCGTAAGAACCCCTTAGTGTGGACACACTGCTTGGGGAAAAAAACATAAAACTTCAAAAAGAAAACAGCATAAACAGCTATATAACTCATTGGTGGCTCCCCGTCCCTAGACCCCGCCTTAGAAAGCGCGTGTCATAGATGCCACTGCCAATGTGAAGGTGTATGCCTTCAAGAGCCCAGTCTTGCTTGACGGTACCGTTCCTGAGACACTGACTTGGAACCAGATTTGTTTCCCAAAATAGGGGGAATTCCGGCAGTTCCCTTGAACCAAGTCCGGGAATGGAAAATGATGCCAACCAATATTGGTCATGGTTTGACTCAGCCTTTGCATCCTATGCCTGGTTGAGCCGGCAGCATGAATTCTGTGCAGGCCGCGGCGTCTCGCAATGCATCTGTGTGCCCGTGCAAAAAACATGTATATATACACACGATTATACGCTATAATATATTCCACTCTAAAGATCCTGAAACACAGAACCATGAACAAGGCCCTTTGCTGTGGCTGAGCCCCATGGCAGCCAAGGCGCTTCACAGCTTGGATTCGGTCACAAAGATATGCCCTCTGAGCCCAGAGCCTAGACAGGCTGATGAGGCACACATGGCTATCGCTCAAAATTAAAAACTTGGAAGACCACAGATTGACTTGTCGATTTTTAGTACTAATCATCCAATTATTCAGGTACCCAATTTGGACCCATATCCGACATCTTTGCTAAGTCTGCTACAGAGACTCGCAACTAGTGGTACTCCCGCCTCGGGCTCAAATAGAGCAGGAGCAACTGCCACAATGCCATAGTGTATCATGGCGTGGCAGCCACGGGAGATATAGTAATTACAGTGAAATCAGTGTCCTTTCTTTCTGTATCTTTCAGACCTAAAAGTTCAGTTTCGTATCAGCAGACCTTTCAGCTGCAAGAAAATATACGATCCTCATTTGCTGCAATGTGGTAGACCCAAGAATAAACCTTCCGAAGGATTCCGATGGTATCATCATGTATCATCCCAACTGGAATCATGCCAAGACTCACTGGAAACTCATGTCGTGGGTGACATCCCCCCACCAAAACCGGTAAGAGCTTGAGCCAACCCTGCAAAAAATCCAACCGCCATCTTAAGGGATCCAAACATTAGCAAAGTCACCTAGACCCGTGAAATCAAACTAGCCAGTGAATCTGCGAATTTTGCTTGGGGATCATGGCGATCAATTTCGGCGAGGAAGCAAACTAGCGAACTCAGCGTGCTTCGAATTTTGACACCCCAAAAATGGGTCGTAAAGTACGTATTCACATCCTAACAGAAACTGACATCTTATTCTGGTCACCTTGGTCATCTTTTTGCCCTTTAAAAAGCCATCGGAGTCGTTGCGTTCTTGGGCGAAACCCGGGAGGGAGCTGCCGGCCGTTCGGCAAGCGCCACCCGTTTCTGGACCTTTCTGGGTCCCTTGGTGCGGTCCACCACGGATATAGATTCACAAAAAGATCATGAGGAGCAGTCAACAGGTAGCTCCAGGATGTTAACATATAGAAACACAATTCTCATCCCTTTAATCCTCTTTCATCCTCTTTCATCATTTCACAGATCAGCCTGGCCATATTTGGCTGGCCATCTGCACTCACCAGTACAAGGTGTCTGGGAAGAAGCGCTGGATCTCAATGATGCCACCTGTAAGGTTAACATCTGCAGGATCCAGTGATGAAAGTCCAGGTTTCCCAGCTACAAAGCTGGAAGGTTAGGGGTGACTGGAAAAAAATCAGCCTGTAACCCAAGAATTCCATTGTTTCAGTCTTACAGTTGCTTGATTTCACACCTGGGACCAATAGGATCCAATAGGCCCAGCCTGGCCCAGCAAAAAACGATCGAGATACAGTAATCATCAGTAATCCAGGTCGGCCCTCTCCATTTTCCAATATTCTCCAATACCAGCTGGATCCAGCTGGTCACCTTTTTGGAGGTGATGAAATTCTCTGCACCCATCTGCATCACCCATGGCCTACGGTGAAAAGGGCAATGAAGGAGAAGAAGTTCACGTTCAGAGACAACCTGGGTTTTGGCTGGTGACTAAGTCTGTGTGTGTGTGTGTTGTGTGTGTCCCTGATATCTTCAACATATCACAACACTGCTGGGTCCATGTTTAATCCCAAAGATAGGGTCTGAAACATTCAATTCAGAATTCAGTTTTCTGGTAAAAATCGATACACATTTAAAAAACCGAGTCTATTCTACCAAAGTTGTGCTCCAGAACTGATCGTCGCATGTTTCTGCTCTGGAATTTCTATTGGGAAATCAATTGCGTGTGAAGATCAAATCCACCATACCCTGTAGTTTTTTCGACAGCACAGTTCTTTAGGGATTGGACCAAGCTTTGATGTCATCAGACTGCACGACTGGTGTGATGTAGTTGACCTGGCAGCAGTTGATGCAGCAAGACACCGACCCGTGGATGTCTCCAAAAATGGCGAATCATGAAAACACATTCAAACACATGAGTTCATAGATTGTGTATATATATATATATATACGTATATATATATATATATGTATGACCAATCATAACAATTCATGCTCCCTGAAATGGATGTTGGATGCCAGTCTTACCATGTCTTACCTGGTTGCTGGCGCCAGTGCTGTACTGGATCTCAGGCTGGTCCCAGTCGTTGGTCTTGAAGACCTCAGTGCTGATCCTTGCAGGAACCATGGTACCGGCTTCCAACACGCTATGCTACAATCATTATTGAAACCCAAAATATATTATAATATAGAGTATATAGATGTATATAGTATATAGTAAATAATACATAATATATAACATATCATATATGAAATATGATATATGATATATAATATATGATATAAAATATATGATATATAATATACCAGTAGTACCCGCACGAGGCGGGGCGGAAGTTGCCTTAGGGATATGCTATAAGACCTTTCTCATCTATAGAACTTGCATGCGCCGTAAGCCAGCCAGGCCCGTGCGCGCGTGCATTCTACGAAAGTGGTGTCCTATTTCACATGTCACATTGGAAGCTCCACTTCGCACTTCACACTTCTCACTGCACTCTTCACACTCCACACTTCACACTCCACACTTCACACTTCACACTGCACTCTTCGCACTCCACACTTCACTTCGCACTGCACTCTTAAGACTCCACACTTCACACTTAACACTCCACACTTCACACTTCGGACTTCACACTTCTCACTTCTCACTGCACTCTTAAGACTCCACACTTCACACTTCACACTCCACACTTCACACTTCACTTTTCACACTGCACTCTTCACGCCCCACACTTCACACTGCACTCTTCACACTCCACACTTCACACTCCACACTTCATCTCATCTGAGCTCTTCTCACCTTATCCCAGTTCATCTCATCTCATCTCATCTCTTCTCATATGTCATCTAAGCTTTCATGAATCACTTCCCAGTACTACTTCGAGAACTTGCATGCGCCGTGCGCCAGCCAGGCCCGTGCGTGCGTGCTTTGTGCGAAAGCCGTTGCAGCGTTGCTGTCCAATGCGATCCGCAACAGGAGATTCAACACACGCATAGAACTACGCACACAGGAACAACCACTCGTTGCAGAACACAGAGGAGGAACACATTCGCGACAGAAACGACCCCAGCCGCAACCCCCCCACACACACGAGGTACCTTTCATCGCCGGCTGCAACCACTTTACTTAGAAACATGCAAGGTTTCGCGCTCCGGCTTCCTCCCCAAAACAACGCAACATTCATGCAGCCATTACAATGCATTTTGCAGCATCGCGTGGTTAACCCGCATCTCTCTACGCACATGGCAAAACCAGACTACAACAATCATACAGCCATTACATGGGTGTATTGTTATGTGATGTCAACTCTCACACCACAGTCTCACACCGCCCTTCATTGAGTGTATTGTTACAGGTAAAAGTCATCCGTAACTCGGAAGATTGCTTCCCAACTTCCTTTGATAATACATAATACATAATACATAATACATAATGTAATATATAATATATAATGTATAATATATAATATATAATATATAATATACAATATACAATATATAATATATAATATATAATATACAATATATAATATATAATATATAATATACAATATATAATATATAATATACAATATATAATATATAATATATAATATATATAATATAGAATATATAATATAGAAATATATAAAATATAACATATACATTAAATAAGATATAATTTATAATAATATATATAACATACAATATATAAAATATAAATATAATATATAATATATAAATCTATAAATATATATAATATATAATATATATAATATATATAATATATATTATGTAATATGTATATATAATATATATAATATCATATATATATATATAATATGTGTACATTAGTGTATATATAATGTGTATACAGTATATAATGTGTATGTATGTATGTATATATATATATATCTATATGTATGCGTACTATATGATCACATATAGTATATGTATAACTGTATAGTTACTGTATATAAAGCGAGTCATCTGCGCACATTGCAAACGAGTCATCTGCGCACAGAGAAACCGCGTCATCCGCGTCATCCGCGCACAAAGAGCGGTCATCCGCGCACATTGAGGCTGGGAACCAGCCATTTCGGGTTTGGGTTTGGTTGCGGGGGGTGGGGTGGGGTGGGGTGGGGTGGGATGATAACGTTCATGTTCCTATGCACACACAGGCACAGCAACCTCATCATCTTTCTTCCCGAAGAGCAGAGACAGGCACAGCTCTTTCATGATCAGTTACCGGTGGGGTGGGGTGAGTTAATAAGGTTCATGTTCCTATGCCTGCACACGCACAGCAACCTCATCATCTTTCTTGCTGTAGAGCACTTACACGCACTGCTCTTTCATGATCAGTTGCCCGTGGGGTGGGGGGGGTGGGGGTGGGGTGGGGTGGGGTGGGGTGGGATGATAACGTTCATGTTCCTATGCACACACAGGCACAGCAACCTCATCATCTTTCTTGCTGTTGGGAAGAGACAGGCACAGCTCTTTCATGATCAGTTACCGGTGGGGTGGGGTGAGTTACTAAGGTTCATGTTCCTATGCCTGCACACGCACAGCAACCTCATCATCTTTCTTGCTGTAGAGCTCTTACACGCACTGCTCTTTCATGTGTGAGATGAGTTGTGTGAGTTGTGAGATGAGTTCTGTGAAAGAACTTGGGTGAACTTCAGTGAGAGAACACGAAAGCAGCTCCACCAAATGGCACACGAAAGCAGCTCTTGAGTGAGTTGAGTTGTGTAAGATGAGTTGTGAGAGATGAGTTGTGTGAGATGAGTTGTGTGACTTCTGAGATGAGAGGAGTTGTGTGGGATGAGTTCTGTGAGTTGTGTGAGACAACTTGGGTGAAGTTGAGAGAGAAAGAAGCAACTCAGGAGGAGAAGGAGAAGGCAAGGAATACAAACCTAAAAGCAAAAGCCCCACACAGAGATGTGAGGAAAAAAACATAACTTGATGAGTTGTGTGATGATGTTTAAAAAAAAGCTAGAAGAATCATGTTACAGAGATTCAATGACAAAATCACACAACAAAAACGTGCACAGACGACCAACCGTCTGACGTGCACAAACGACCCACTTTTGACGTGCACAGACGACCCCTCAACCCCATGCACCCCCATGTAATGGGTCATGCAAGTAGGAGGACCCTTCAGACTTGTGGAAAATCTTGTCAGCCGGATGACAATGTTTCCCTGGTCGCGCGACTGTTGCCGGTGGGGCTTGCATGTCAAAGATGTATGTGTGTATTGGTCTACATATACTGTGGGTAAAACAATAATAAACCATCCCCCAAATCAGCATAAATAGGTGGTATAAACCATTCCCGAATGGTTGTTTTATTATGGTTTTAACCACATATATATTCATAGATTGAAAATAACCGATGAATTTTGCCTCAACACTTCGCCAAACCTGTAGCTGACTCAATGGCTGATGCAATCCTAGTCGCAACGCGTGGAGGGTTGTTGTTCACGTCTCTCTTCACCACCTCAGGGTCGCAAAATCTTCGCAGCGAATTGACTTGGGATCCCGCAGTGGGGAACCAATCAAGTAATCCCTGAAAATCCTGAATTGCTATCTTTGCTCCCGCTTCCCATGTTGATGGCCAACTATAGGGAACAGGGATTTGTCTAAAAGTAAGGGACCCCAAAGTCCTATTGCCAGCAGTTTCCCTTATAAAATTGCCACAAAATGCAATGAATTGGGGTCTCCCCTTGTTTGGGGAGCACATGGCAACATGGAGAATCCTGACATACGAAGCGCCAGCCCGCACCTTGCCAGACTCCTCTGGCTTGATCAAAACCAGTCCCTCATCACGCCTGGTGAAATTTCTGGCCAAAAGTCTTCAATTGGTCCAGTATGGCATCACTATGGGACCATCATGATGGATCATGATGGTAATTAAGCACATGACCTATCAGTCACTAATGATAGTTCCATCATATTTACAATCATTAACAATAAGTCCACCATCTCTCCACAGCCCAGTGACGCATCCACAGCCCTTGTGGCCACACTGCCTTAGCTGCAGCCCCTGTGGAGCCACATGCATACGTGCGTATCATGTGCATACACATATACCTATACATACATACATACATACATACATACATACATACATACATACATACATACATACATACATACATACATACATACATACATACATACATACATACATACATACATACATACATACATACATACATACATACATACATACATACATACATATCATTACCATACATACCATTACCATACATACCATTACCATACATACCATTACATTACATACCATTACATTACATACCATTACATTACATACCATTACATTACATACCATTACATTACATACCATTACATTACATACCATTACATCATTACATACCATTACATACCTACATACCATTACATTACATACCATTACATTACATA